TGAAAAGATGGCACGATGCTGAAAAGATGGCAAGAGTGCTGATAGTTTTTCATCTTCCCGGCAGACCCATGCATAATTTTATTTCTTACACGATAGGCATTAGTTGCTATAAATTATTTAATTCTTCAATTCTATAAACTCAAAAAACGAGTGATCTTGTCCCGGCGGGGAAAGATCAACTGTTCTTACCACGAATGGTTCATTACGATTTATCCTCGTGTCTTTGCCTAATGGATCTTTCGATTCGGTGTGTAAAAAAAGTATTTCTTTTCCAACCGGGTTACAAAAAAAAAAAACGAGCGACGAAGGAGCGAGGTTTTTCTGGAATACGCGAGGAAAAGGTATGCGATCTTCCACGAATGAGTCATGAGGAATCCTAAATCCTTATATTTAGAAGTTTATTCAAAATTCATTTAAATATTTTTCTTAAATGTAGGCATTTCTTCATGACACATATATTTAGAGCTTTTGTATTTATATCATTATTTCTACCACAAACAGCCATCAAAAAATGTTGCGGCTTTTGACGCATCACCACTTGAACGTGCTTGATTTTTCGCCGTGAACCATCGAGACCTTATCTTTGCATCTCAGAGGATGCAGAGATGACAAATTCTTATCTTTGCATCTCAGATGAGTGCAAGATACAAATATTCCTGCACCGTAGACCAAATGGCAAATAAACCTCTACTAGAAAGATATGAGTTGTTCATAATAAACCAGAGAAACAGCTGCGCGATTGTGTTTTTTTATTACGTATTCACATATCCACGCGTTTATTTCTTCTTCGCGGAATGCGACTGCAAACAATGGGTAGTTTAACAAATTGCTACAGTAGTCAGTAGTCAGTATACAATGTACTTACAAAGCATGCAGCAAGCATTGCAAAGAAATGCGTTTGAACAGTCGTTACAGAATCACATTTTCAACAACCATCAGTACTTAGTCTCCACAAACAAATGCACTCAAATAAACGGTTTGATATAATAGCATAACACCCGAGTTACACTGATACGGTCAAACACTATATTTACTAACGCATACATGCACCCGGTTTGGATGAATCATACACCAGAACGACGCGTTTACAAATACACACAAGAAAATGGTGGGTCCGCCAGGGTTTATTGCGTACACCCAAACAATGTATGCAAGGGTTCGCTACAGCTCAATACTGGGTTCAACGGGTACACTCAAACAACTGGCTTAAAGGAACTATCCCACCTTCTAAAATGTTGTTAAAACCAGTTAAATTGTGCCCGACTTTATAGATTGGATGACCAGGAACACGGTTCTGGCATTTATTTTTCATTAGACATCTTTCCCATATTCCAAACACAAACTTTCAAATATGTGACGTCAGAGCCCAAAATTACCAACTTCCCCAGGCCACATTACTGTCATAAAGCTGATTCTTTTTACTCTGTAGGCACCACAACAAAGTTCAGACCAAGTTTTAACCCGCGCACCGACGGGGGTCTGCGCCAACTTCGCACCGACGGGGGGGGCGGATGACCACCCCCCTGAAATCTCGAGAACGAAGCAAGATAGCGACAAGCGGTAAACGGCATCGGATACGCACGGCCAAGATCTACAATTTTTACTAAGGTCATTTTCAGGTCAGGTCAAAGATGACGTCACAGGGGTCGAAAAAGTCAAAATGGCGGCGCTAGATATGGAGAGAGTTTTTCTCGAATAACTTTCGAATTAGTCAAGATAGGAACAAACTAAGGGCATCATCGTGATCCTCTCGTCAATCCGCATCGAATGATATATATGTTGACCTCGAAAGGTCAAGGTCAAAGGTTGACCTCAGGTCACGTGACCTTGAGGTCATCATGTATATCATTCGATGCGTCTTGACGAGCTGAACACAATGAGACCATCCACGCGTCTGTATCTTGTTCCTGTACGGAGTTATTGGCCAAAAACCTTTGGTGACCTTTGATGACGTCACATGACCTCACAACTGCCCAACAGCAAAACAGACCTCAAGGTAGTGAAGGTTGATCGTATATGAAGTCATGTATGGTATATGGGGCCATTCCGACCCGTTTTAGTGGTAAAAACAGGGAGTTGATTTTTCCCCCATTGACTTATAATGGAAAAGTCGCGAAATTGACCTGACCTTAGGTCACCGATATCAAAATTCCGAGATATACAAATTGTAGCTACTAATGACCTAATAATATCCTGCGACTTTCAAAGGCCTCCGACATCTACTGTAGCTCTGGCACGGTGACAAAGTTGCAAAAAAGTGACTTGAGGTTGGGTCATTCAAAGTGACCTGGTGATCTGACCTTTAAAGGTAGGAGGTTCAAACTTGCGCACCATGTGTAAAATTGATGAGGTTATAGTCATACCAAATTTCAACCTCAGGGGGGGGGGGGCGGATATCCGCCCCCCCCGTCGGTGCGCGGGTTAAGCAACTTTTCAACGAACAAACCCATTTAAATCAAATGACTAAACGAGGTGACGTCACACTAACGGTCGCTCCATGTTGAAGATAGGGCCTTGCGCAAGGCCCATTTTCAAATGAAGGGAACGAATTTCTTTAACACCAAGAGGCCGCGGGGGTTGCAACCTAGATAGATAGTGGTTTCTGAACCTCGCCGCAAACTTGGCTATCTCAACTCAAACCCCATGTTAAAGGTGGGATAGTCCCTTTAACCAATACACTCGAATGCTGGTTTTAATTGACTCAGCTTAACACCGGGTTTCACTAATACGCTCAGACACGAGGTTAAGCTGATGCATCTTAACACAGAGTGGCTGACTGGCCATGGTCTGATAAACCCAAATAGGGGCATTCCATGTCAACCGGGACAGCCAAAATCGGCCACCTCTGCGATTTTGTTCAAACTTGGTATACTTGTTGGCTATTGGGGGAAACCTCTGAGGGTCAAAGGATTTTGTCATATGCCCTCGGGCTACAGAGATACAAGCCGCTAAACTTCTGCTTTTTAGCAGAATTGGACGTGTATTGCAATCTTGAAAGATCTATAGCTTCAACATTTTTGAAGCTATTAATTTCAAACAAACGGAAACGTGAACACGAGGAGTTATGCTAGTTAAATTTGGTAATTTTAACATTTTTTGGTGATTTTGAATTTATTTTATTTTGAATTAATTTCTTAAAATGTAATTTGTGAAAAATGGGTACCCTTCGATTTTGCTCAAATTTAGATATTGTCTTCCACTAGACGTAAGGCATACGTGCTGAGAAAATTAGAGTGGGCCAACGATAACTTTGGATGATATAGCAACAAGTAGTGCAACGTAGCACGGGCGATGGAAGGGGCGGATTTCGCCAACCCCACCTGTTTTTCGTCAATAACTCACGCCATAACTACTATATTAACGTCAAACTTTCAGCATCTGTCCAGAATTGAATTGCAAATCCTCCTGTGCAAGCAATAGGTAAATCGGTCCACAACTTTTCTAGTAATAGCGGTGTAAAGTCAAATATCTTGCCGGAGCGGCGCGTCGGCCGGCGTCGGCCGTTGCCGCCTGAATGGTAGACTGTGCCGGCGCCGGACGGTTCCATCTTTGCATTGCGCTTCTTACCGCTGATTATGATCGATTCGTGTCAAATTTTGTGTGAAGGCTTAAAAATGTACAGGCAAACTAATGGTCAAATAAATACGAAAACCAACTAGTAAAAATTGAATTATTAGGGTGCAAACACAATCTGTGACTGAAACGTTTCCCGCGTCGGCCGATCCCCGCGCCTTTGCGGGCGACATCTTACTCTTAGCAGGCCACTAACTGCCAAATTTATGGTTAGATTATCTAAAGATTCTCATAACACTACAAATGTCGTATAAAGGAAGAAATAGGAAAATCGGCCAGTAACTCTTAGAGCTATGGGCGTATAAACGCAAAATAGTCACCATAGCAAATTTCATCACGATTAACCTCATTTGATCTTGAAGATATTGATCTAGGGCCATGAAATTGGCACACGATAAAGTTCCCCACCGCCCCACCTATAATTCAAATTCCGTTTTTTATACCTTTTTTGGCTAAACCAAAAACTCCTAGCGCTGGGAGAGTCAGGCGTATTTCCTTTTTGCAACCAAAGAGAGGCGCTGCCCGGAGAATGCCCAATTGCATCATTAAAAAAAAACTGGCTTACATCTCCGCGATGACCAGCTATCTCCGTGGCTTAGTAGTTAGTGTGCCGAGTGTACCCACCTCGTAATCTAAAGGTGGCTGGCTCGTGGCCGGTTAGCCTCAAGTGTTTAAACACGCATTCGTTTTTTAAGTAACATCTGGCCAGCCGGCAAATGTCGTGAGGGCTAATGTTCGTATCTAAGTAGCATTTGGCCAGTCGGCAACTGCCGTGAGGACTGTACATATTTACGCATGTTAGATTAGGTCAGGTCACGTCAGGTCAGGCTAGGTTTGCTTTGGTTTGGGGCAGAAAGAAGCATCTCCGGGTAGCGCCTCTCCTTGGTTGCTAAAACGAAACTCGCGAGTGCCAGACATTACGAACTCCAAAAGACAGTTACGTAGACGTCGGCCCATTCTGGATTTTTTATATGATGTAGCTAATGTATGGGAGGATGAAATATGTAAAAATCAGCAAAATCGAAGGGTACCCATTTTTCAGAAAATCAAAATTTATTTTTTGAATTTTAATTTAGTTCATTAATTAGCTAATTAGTAATTATGTCAATATTGTTATCCTCAAATTAAAGCCTGATCTATTCCCTCCGTTTCACACTTTGTCTCATGGTGATATGTCTAAAACTTCAATGGTTATGACGGCTTATGACGCTTTAAAGATGATAATGTGCCTTGCCTAAGTCAATGTTTGATGACGTGTATCTCGGAAACGTGACGTCATATCTTGGCAAAAACATGTCTCCTTTCTTTTCACATATAGATGAGTAGTTTTACAAAGTTTCGCAAAAATCGGAGGAGGTGAGGTTCAAAATGGCCATTTTTTGTCTCACTTGACGTGGAATGCCCCAATACCGTGTTTAACTGAAACATCCAAACGAGTGGCTCATATTTTCCATGGTTTAACTGCAGTGCACCCAAACACGGGGTCCAACCGACACACCCAAACACTGGGTCTAGCCAATACACCCAAACACCGGGTTTAGCCAATACACCCCAACACCGGGTTTAGCCAATACACCCCAACACCGGGTTTAGCCAGTACACCCCAACACCGGGTTTAGCCGATACACCCCAACACCGGGTTTAGCCAATACACCCCAACACCGGGTTTAGCCAATACACCCCAACACCACGTTTAGCCAATACACCCCAACACCGGGTTTAGCCAGTACACCCCAACACCGGGTTTAGCCAATACACCCCAACACCGGGTTTAGCCGATACACCCAAACACCGGGTGGCTGACTTGCCAGGGCCGACATACTGGCCGATCTGGCACCCGTCGGGTCACACAGCATCGCCCCCGGCCGCAGGGCCGTCTCCCAACGGGACAACCCAGGTTGATCACTCTTTGTTGTTCATCCGGTCGAATCCTCCTTGCCAGGGTCTGGATGTCCGTGTCACCGGGTCGACCACGGGTCATGTGAACGCTGGTGAGGACCAGCTGAAATAGAGGAAACAGATGTCAGGTGAGGCAGGTCAACCGCCATTAATGGATCATTTAATGTGTGCTTGTTCAATTGTTCATCTAAATTCAACAAAAGTACTCTTTTACTTAAATAGACCTAAAAAGCAAGTAGCAAACTGTTGTAGCGTGGCGAAATCAAATAGGTACGCAATACGCTGAGCAATCAGCTTAGAAAGTTCGTTCTCACAAAGAAAGAAGCTAGCACTGCTAAGGAAAAAATACACGATAAGAGTTACACCAAACAGAAAACCACCGCAAAAAAAACTTTTACCATATAAGCCCATAAAGGACTTTAAGGAGTAGTTTAGACATTACCATTAGAAAACTGAAAGCGCACTACGGAAAAAAACGAATACAATGTCACTCACCAAACACAGTAGCACCGATAGAGCGGTATGGCGGTTCGCCATGACGTCTAACTACTTCTTCCACAACCACAATGCAGCACTGCCGTCCTACCACGGTGACGGAGGACCCCCTTCTGAGCACAGCAGCGCCTCTGCAGTCCACCGCACCACTTCCGGCTGCCAGATATCGGACGGAGACCACTTCCGGTTCCGGTCAGGGGCAGTGGAGGCCCACACTAGAGATGTCAATTGAGTACAGCCTTTTTGGTACATCAATACAGCACTGACACCGATTGTTATTGGTATTTTTAACTTAATATTTTTGGTATTCTGTCGCAGTCTAGTCCATATAACACTATGGAATGCGCTGAGTTTTGTTAAACGCCATCATTATGGCAAATCCACGGTTTCTCGCGCTTGACTAGAACTTCAGCCTAATATCATTTGTTGAGATGGGGAGGGTAAACGTCCCCCCCCCCCCTAGGCGCCCTCCTCTGACCCAAGGTACCGATAGGACCATAGCTGCTGGACCGGGGATCAATTCAGTCCTGCCCCCTCACTTCACCAGCCCGGGTTTTAAGCCACGCCACTGACAATAGTGTTTCCCTCTTTTCAGAACATTCGGCACACCAGAGAGGAGCCATACAACGTTTAACTCACCGCTAAGGGCCGAACAACATCTCAAGGACAAGGCAGAGATGCACCGCGCTCATTTTTAATCCAATAATCCATTCGGCTAATCCCTCGGTCCTCCACTTCCCCTTAACCCTCGCCCGCACATGGGGGGGGGGGGGGGGTGGTTGCCACCCCCCCCCCCCCAGGTAGTCTTTCTGCTCTGCACTCCACATTTTTAGAGCTAGATGGCTGATTTTTCGTATAGCTGCTCCTCTATCCTTTCTTGATGTCCACTGAAAATTTCAAGTTTCTGTGATTTTTGGTTTCGGAGATATGACCTTGTTTTTTAGGTCATGTCATGACCCAAATGGCCAATTCTCAACATCTTGCGTTTGCCATGGGCCTTATGAGCTTTTGACACCCTGATTTCGGCCGTTTTTGCCAGTCTTACCTCCTACCTATCATGGAACATGTTGTTCGACGATGTACAGGGGTCAAGGTCAGGGTCAAGGTCAACCTAGGTCACCTAAGATAATTGCGTTTTAGGCAAGCTAAATTTACTTTTTTTGAAGTTTTTTGACTGCATTTTTGGTAAAAGCTTCTCAGATCATGATTTCATGTAATATGGACCCAAAAACAATCGGTGCACACATCAGTATACACACAGACACACACAGACATAAAAACACATATAATTGACCTTGACCTAACTTGACCTGAAATGACCTCAGCAGCAAAATTCTGGTCGGGTAGTGTGACAAAGAGGTTCTAGCTGGCTTGGCACCAGAAAACAGCATCGTCATCGGTATTTGATAAGCAGCACACTTAATATCCAACGGTGACCCAAAACAGCAACATTTTTTAGTTTGACCTGACCTGGAAGGTCAATGACTGACCTGAGAAGGTAAAACTGGGTATCATTGGATTCGTCTCTTCCCAAAAAATCTTTTTGGTCTTTACTGCTAAGCTCTATCTCCAACAGGAACGAAATGGCGCGGGGGGGTGGCAACCACCCCCCCATGGCCCAATCTTATAAACGCCGTGAAATGGATATGGCAGCACTCTAAGGCTGGATATATAGTACGCAATCTTATAAAACTCTGTAAAATCGAAAACACGGCACGCTCCCTACAGCATTGGTAGCCGCCGGTTTTGAGGATGCCCTAGCATGCTTTTAACCGTGAGCAGCTGTGCACATCTCAAAACACCGGCAATCATAAGCTGTTTGCGGTTTCAGCGGCGTCCATTTCACGCCAGAATTTGTGGCGTACTTTGACGAGCTTCTCAGACAGTTTAATTCATTTAAGATAAATTCAATGTTTTTATGGTATGAGTATGCAATATTTTACGTTATGATATTTTTAAGATTAAAACATCCTCCACATATTAACTCATGGTTTATTATAATGATGCTTATTATACAGACAACGATCAATTTCAAAATATGTATTTTCAGGGACTAAATGGCTAAATGCACACTAAAACACATAAAAACGAGTGTTCATCGTTATATGGATTTATTTTTCAAATTAAAAGGGGATTTTTAAGAGGATTTTAGCACCAGTAACCATCATAGATTTTCGGCAGCCACTGCATTATAGAATCGGTATGGGTCTTTAGCCTATTCTCACGTCTCACGTATGACACAAATAACGGGCACTTCATGGCTTCTGATTAGATATTTAAATTAATGATGATATACCCTTAGTTTGTCAAAAAATTGTTAATTCCTACTCACTATTCGTATCTCCTCACTTTCTGTCTGGCACAGTTAAGGATCAATGTGTTGTTTCTCTTCCTGCATCTCGATCTGACTTCTGAGCCGAGTATTTTTCTTGATATGCTTTGATATGTAGACTGGGTTCTTCAATCTTTTGAGGAATTGCTTTTTAGCTTTAGGTTAGGTAACAGGTAGGTACCTATGCTTGAATAAGAAGGAAAATAAGCTGCAACTTGACCTAATTCAGTTCATGTACGTAGACTTCGAATTTTAGTAGTTTATCTTCAAGAAGGAAAATGTCAAGAGCTTATGACAAGAAGGAAAACAAGCTATATCTTGAATTGATCCAGTTAATGTACGTATCCTGATGCTCAAATTGTAGGAGCTTCATTGTCAACGGCATTACTTAAATTACTGAGACAGTAGCCGAGCTATAATTAAATGACTATTTAAATAATTCTTTAACAAATTTATTGCAATGCCTTAACAGCAAATAAATGCAAATGATAAGTAGAAGAAACACTTTATTCACTCGAATTTCTGAGCGCGAGAATGCCCTCGCTGAAATTTATTTGGTCGGCAATCCACTTTTCAGGAGAATTCTTCAAGCATGTTTGTGTTTTCCATAGTTTGCTATCACGTTTTCCATAAATAGCTTATTCATTACACATATGTGTGTTTCTAAAAGAAATAAATGCCCCATAAAAATTAAAACACATAACTTTTGCTGTTCGCAAACAGTACGCATAATTTCCAATAGCGACGGCGACAAGACATTGACCAATCACGTTGCGTGTTTCCTGCTGGCGTTGATTTGTACTGTGGGCAAAATGGCGTGAATAGAATTACCATACTATTCTCTTTATAAGATTGCGTGAATAGGGTGCCGTAAATAGAGTGGGGTGGAATGATAGTACGCCATTTGGTAGCACAACCTTTATAAGATTGGGCCCATGTGCGTTCTAGGATGGGAAAATGGCATGTGCGGGCGAGGGTTAATTCTTTTGTTGCTGTTTTCTGTCCCGATAACCTCTACTACACACAGGAATTTTTAATCCGGTCTTTCTTGTCACCTCCGCTGTTTCCGTTGTGGCAACCCGGTGCCAGTAGGTATGCGGCATTGATTCAAGTTCTGTTTTTATGAACGCACTCTTGGTCGTCTATTGTGTTACCTTTGATGCGGCTTTGTCACAAATGTCAATGTTGGGCTATTTTTACATGCGGACGAATATTTGAGCCACCGTTGGGGGAATGCAATCTATCAACGGGGCCTGAAGTTAGGGTTGTGCTACGATTTTCTAGGCATGTTACAATGTTTTATTTTTAAGTGGGCAGTTAAGTAGACGATACAATAGTCCCGACGAGCCTATTGCTAGTTAACTAGCAATACACAACAAGTTTGAAAGTTTACAATACACAGCAAGTTTGAAAGAAACTTGTTGCGCATAAGAGACACTTTTTGACAGTCACAATCTGACATGATTGAGTTAATTACCAATTAAGTATTCAACATCATTCAGAAAGGTAATACCAAACTAAAGGCAAGGTCCACTGGTTTCTCCTTGTACCTTTCTTAGCGTCGTCATTTCCTTCCTAAGTTGTACACCTTTACCTACTTGTTGGGTTTACGCCGGTTTTCGGTCTGTTGCCTAGTTTCTCTGCGTTTGTGATCTACATAGTCCATAGCAACAGGTCCCCTTTCAGCGTCCGTTTACTACCAGCTGTTGTCATGGAAACATGGGCACCATGTTAAATAACACCCCTAATTTTATCTATCAAACTTTCGCCTCAATAATCACACATAACTGCGCTGGACACCAGCCGCTCGACTTGGGCCGGGCATGACCGCAAACTGTTTCGGTAGTTTCACCTGGAAATTAAATACAAACATAAATAGAAACGGCGGTGGATTGACGTCACTACGCGAGTTTCTAAAAACGAGACAGTGACCCCAGTGGGAAAATAAATGGCCATCGTCCCAGATCAGAGTCACGAGCTGGATGCGGAGCTACAAATAGCGGACCATACGTCAAAACGTCAGGTGATAGTCCGATGAATCATTCATGGTACCGATGGCCCTACGATTATATCTAAAATGGTGAGTTTTTACTACGATTCCCATACGCCGAGATATCCCTTTAGCATTATCCTAGCCGTGCGGTAAACATTTGCACGTGATCTTTCCTGCACTGTTTTCCGGCACGGGTTGATGACCTACAGTTCTGGTGATTTTTTTGATAAAAAATCTTAAAAAAGGTGATTTCAATAATTAACTTGTGAGTTTCTGAATAGATATTAAACGACGTATGGGAAATATCTTACTGAACTTGCTCTGGGAAGAAAAATGGAAACCTCGGTCTTCAAAAAATCTCCGGCACTCGGCTACGCCTCGTGCCTACAATTTGTTTAAAGACCTCGGTTTCCATTTTTCTTTTCCAGAGCCGTTCAGTAATATATAATCGTGAATGCATAGTTATACAGACATAATGGACCCTTCAGGTCTCTCTCTCTCTCTCTCTCTCTCTCTCTCTCTCTCTCTCTCTCTCTCTCTCTCTCTCTCTCTCTCTCTCTCTCTCTCTCTCCTCTCCTCTCCTCTCCTCTCCTCTCCTCTCCTCTCCTCTCCTCTCCTCTCCTCTCCTCTCCTCTCCTCTCCTCTCCTCTCTCCCTCTCTCTTTACATTGATCAGTTCAGTTTCTAGTAGAGTGCTATTGGCATGTATTGCGGTGTTAGTTAGGCAAAAGCATTCACCAATATGCTTCAGGTGACACCTCACTTTTTATTTTCTGCTTAATTAGTATTTCTATGGCAGTGATGTACGCAGACAACTAGTTACACATTTACTTTGTCTACATTATAAGAAGTAATTATTAACATAGAACACATTGTCTTGTTAAATGATGATTACGACTAGATTATTGACAATTATTGATAAATGATGATCAATGATCAGCCTTGG